GGCAGTCGGCTTCATCTCGTGACCTTGACAACCTTGAGTCTTAGGGACAACTATCCACGTCCAGTGTGTGAGAACTACTAATCGGCGGCGTAGTAATGGCGGCGGACAAGTAAGGGGTTGACAGTAGAGAGATCGAGCAAAAAAGAGGTACCATGGGGTCTGTCTCTTGACTCTGACACATTACGGCATTCAGGCATTTGGATGCCAGTCCACCAACCCCTAGGTCAAGCTCACTTTAAGTCTTAATTATGATCTCTGATCGAGGACCATCAAACTCCGATCACGAATAGGACCGGCTCGGTGTGTCAGTCTACAGCAAGAAACTCACGTCTTCACGTTTCCGCAAGATTTTTTTATTTTAATTTTTCTTTCGGGAAGTAAATACACACTATGGATATTACAATTTACAGCAAAAAGCTTAACCAAACGCCCACTTTGTTTTGCAACCAACCGTTTACCAACAGGTCTGGTTCCGTTAGACCCCCGGATAGCCAGTCTTTAACAACACCAACCAAAAATGATCCCCAACAAGAAAGAAGAGCAGCGGCAGCAGTACCAAGACACCTATATGTATGTAATCCGACCAGCGGGTCCAACCCCCTTTCAGTTTTTCTTAATCTTCAACACAATCCACGCGGCGATCCTGTACCCGGCAATGATGCCGATCATGATGCCGATGTTGCGCCCAAAGTGCTCCTCGGTGTATCCGTACGTGTCGAGGACGCCCTGCCCGGCAATCTTGCACTGGGCCTCGAGCGCGGTGCGGTACATGCACTGACACCCCTTGCCGCAGTCGTAGACGCGCTTGGCGAACTCGTTGTGCATCATGCCCTCGAAGACGTACTTCTGGTAGTCCCAGTAGTGGAAGACGTACTTGTAGAAGGAGTTGAGGATGGTGGGGCTGACCATGAAGCCGTTGACGGACATCCAGAGGCCGTTGGCGAAGGCGACGAGGGCGAGGCTGATGACGAAGGAGGGGAAGAGAGACGTGAAGAAGACGACGAGCGACTCGGCGGCGAGGAGGTCGAGGAAGAGCCACATTGTCCAGACGAAGAAGGCGTCGGCGGCGGGACGGAAGTTGGAGAGCCAGTAGGAGATGACGGAGAAGATGAGGGCGATGAGGAAGAGGTAGGGCAGGCCGATGAGGAAGTTGGAGATGAGGAGGGCGGTGGCGCCGTAGAGGCCGTTGTGGTGCTCCTTGACGTACTGAGAGCGGTCTTCGAGGAAGGCGGGGACGTAGGCGACGGCCATGAAGGACATGAAGGCGCCGCCGAAGAACTAAGCATTGTTAGTTGAAACAGGACCTAGAGAAAATGGTCGTCGGAAGGAGCTTACGATTGCGTTGGTTAGGGGAATGATGGATTCCTGGCTGGTAGAGAGGCGGACCCAGACCGTGCCCATCATGATTGCAAGACCTGCACCTGTCAGCGAAAGATCTTAGTGGGGGAGAAGGGAAGCATACCCGTGTACATGGCAAACCGGATCCCGTACGCCACGACGTCGCGGTAGCTCTTGATGAAGCTCCGGTGGAGCAGCGTGAGCACCAGGCTGGGCAGCCCGGGCTTCTTCTCCTCGTCGCTGAGCACGACGGGGTTACTCTTCTGCTGCGCGTCGGCGATGGCCGTCTTCAGGTCCCGCGCGGAGCCGGACTCGCTCCAGGCCTCGTGCATCGCCTGCAGCCGCGCCGCGGCCTGGCGCTTGTCCTTGACGAAGTCGACGTTGACGAGCTCGAGGAGGTGCTCGGCCGGGTTGACCTGGACGGGCATGGGCATGCCCATGGACTCGTAGTACGGCACGACGCGGTCGACGCCGCCAAAGTAGTGCGTCTTGCCGCCCGAGAGGAGCATGAGCTTGTCGAAGAGGTTGAAGGTTGAGGTTGAGGGTTGGTGGATCGATGCGATGACGATGAGCTGGATGGTTCACACACATCAGTGAGTTGCGATGGGAAGGGGCCAGGTTGCAAAAATGAAAGTGGTACATACGTTGCTTCGTCGGGCGACCTTCTTGAGGTAGCTGATCACCTCATAGCTGGCCGCAGAATCCAGCCCGCTGGTGGGCTCGTCCAAGAACATAATTTTGGGGCTGGTGATGAGCTGGCTGGCGACACCCACGCGCCTCTTCTGGCCTCCGGAGATACCCTTACGAATGGGCGTGCCGATGATGGTGTTGGCCTGGTCGTTGAGACCGAACGAGGCCAGCAGGCCGTCGATCCGGGCGAGACGCTCCCTGCGGGGGAGGGAGCTGGTGCTCGAGAGGCGCGAGGTGAAGAGCAGGGTCTCGCGGACGGTCAGGGATCCGATGAGGGCGTCTTCCTGCTCGACGAAGCAGGATATCTGGCGGAACTCGGAGCGGGACGGCTTGACGCCGTTGACCAGCACGGAGCCCTCGACACCGGAAGCATTGGTGGGACGTCCGGCGAGGACGTTGAGGAGGGTCGTCTTGCCGCAGCCCGAGGGTCCCATCAGGGCGCAGATTTCCCCTGGTGGTGTGGTGTTAGTGATTCAACCGCCGCAAGACGAAAAATTGGTGATAAGCCCGTACCAGCCTCGACGAGCCCGTCGACACGATGGACGATGCTCTTGGGTTGCTTGGTCTCCCTGTCCTTGACGGTGACCTCGATGCCCTCCCACGAGATGTTCTGGACGGAGGTGTTTAGTAGATGGGCGTCCACGGCACCCATCATCTCCGCGTCATGGTGGTAGACACCCTCGGCGTCGCTGCGCGTCATCTTGTTCCGTTCCTTCCTGGGCTCGTAGTAATCGCTGCTGTTACCGTCCATATCTTCCAGAGCTGTCCTGGTAGGTTTGATTAAGAGATGCTGTGATATAAATAAGTACTCGAGAACAGAGAAACAGTCTTTCTTCTCCCGACGTCATACAAAAGATTAAAAGATAACAAAAGAGACTCGAGGGAATAGTACATCGATTATAACCAACCAACTGGGAAAGGGGATAATGTTAATTATACATGTCTCCCAGGAACCGAGCCGACTTCCGCCAAGCCAGAGATTACATGGCAGCCCGCGGCCCGGCAGCCTGCATGGCCACGTTCTGAGGCCGTTGTAATAGGCTTCAACGCTGGCACGCACTAGGCGACGTGGTAATCGGCGACCTACTGTGTTACCTTTTTACCTCTCAACAGAGCCGCCGAAACACAAAATACATGGTGCAGGAGCAGAATCAGGCAGACAGATAAGGTAGGGCAAAGGTAAGGTAGGTAGACAAAGTAGGCTAGCTACTGCTGTGGTGTCTCATCCCAAGCCCACTCTCTCCATCTCCCTACCCTCTCGTACCGCCAAATCCGGCAAGAGGAGCATCGAATCCCTCGTCCGGGATGCTGTGCATCCACAACCTGCAACGAATCCCTGGCCTCTCAACAGATGAAGGGGTACAAGAAAAAATCCCCGAATGATGTCCTACAGGCTGAGCCAGGGGAGGGAGGCGAGGTCGTCCTCCTTGGCGGCATGTCCGGACCACACCTCACACTCTTGGTGAATGGTGTTGGTGGATGTCGAGGATTTGGGGGCGGCTCCCGATGGCCCGCACCGTCAGCAGCGATGTCACCCATTGTTTCCTCTGCATCTGTGATTGGCACTGCCGAGATCCGGCAGGGGGAGTGTTATTGATAGCCTGCCATTGCGTCGGTTGGAGTGGGCTACGGTACCCAATACCCAAGACCGTGTGTGTTGTGTGGGCGGGAATGCGCGTGGGGTGAGGTTCTTTTTGATCCCCGAGGTGAGCGGGCAAGTTCAGACGACATCGTGGCGATGGACGCCGAGAGGGTCGCCGCACCTCCCCACGGGCCACCAGCCCCAGCAGCCCCAGCCCCCGTGTCCGCTTACCCACATACAAAACCCCTGGTTCCCGGCCAGGCGGCGTCCCGCTGTTGCTGCGGCACATGTAACGGTAAGATAGAAGATTGGATCATCGGCCGGGGACGTCTTCAATCAGCTCGTGATTGTATTTTTTCTCTTCCCGAATTTCGCGAAGCTTGACCGAAGTTCCTCACAAGAGAGAATCGCGGCTAGCTTTGTTGGCGGATATTAAGGGACCCCGGGGATCGCCAAGATGCGCTGCCGTTGTACAACGCCGGCACTGGACTGCAGTGCCAGTGCCAAAGTAGCCTATTCGGGACGTCCGAATGATCACCACCGCTCACATCTCGAACGCTTGACAAACAATCGTCTTCGGAGATGGGACTGCGGCTGAAATTCAGAAAATGCGGCTAATGCAACGAAGGGGTTCACTGCGGCATGTCACCTACATTATCTTCTTGACGGGATCGTGACCCGCCTTTGGAAGGGTAGGTTGCATTGCTGTAGGGCTGCAAGGTAGTACGTAGCAATCCCCCGGATTGTGGCCCACGGGAACATCTTTAGATCACCACGTGGGGGACGAGATGCGCTCGCACGAGCTTCATCAATCTGGCCGGGCATCTGCTTGGCAAAAACCGGGCCATCAAGGCCCCAGATTTAGTTTCGTTTCTCGCGAAGCTATCGAGCGCCGCCGCGGCGCCTCCACATCCGAGACTGCTCCCCGACAGCTAGTTCCCGTCGGCGTCCACCCGTCTCGACGGCCGGGAAGTTAATCAGATCATTGAAAAACACAGCGATAGTCTGAAACAAGGTTGTCCAAATCAAAAACAGACTGACAAATGGAGCCTGTGGCCACCCGTCAGGGGGGCACTTTTGTCATATTAAGCAAAGATGAAGTATCTGAGCAGAGTTGTTACCGCCGTGTCTGAGTTGTCCCAAGAATGGAGATTCGCCTCACAAGCCACGTCCCAGGCGCCCGCTTCAAGCCCGCTTCCGTGTGGGCTGGTATATCCATAAAGAAATGACAAGTAGAAGAAAATGACAGAAATTGTGCCTCCCCTCCTTTTCGCGTCTATTGCGCCACCGTAATTCGTCCTGATCGCTGCTGTTGAAAGAGATCGTTTGTACTGTCTCGGTGAACCGGCCGAGAATTGAATGTGCTGCCGAAGCCCCCCTTTCGCCACAATCAAGGCTCAAGGCTGTCGAGGTTAGGCATCGGGATGGACCCAAGCCCGGTCTCAATGTCGTGCATGATGGTCTCATCCGCAGCGATGCTGTTCATCACCTCCTCCTGCGTGAAGCCCTGCCAGTAAGATGGGTTGATCTGCGACGCCTTCTTTGTGCGATAGATCTCCTGCGCGACCCCCTTGACCTGCCCCGAGGCGTTTCCTGCCGCCTTCCAGACCGCCGAGAGCTTGTTCAGAGCCCCAATGTTTAAGCGGATCTGTTGTCGCAATTCGTCATCGTCGTGTGGAATGAAGAACAATGCCCACTTGCTCAGGTGCACGATGGATGAAAGCGTGACGACGCAGGTGAAGAAGTGAGTGTGTGAAAGCAGAGGCACCCGGTGCGTGATCATTTTGCTGATTTCGCCAGCCGAGGTGATGGTGTGGTTGGTGTGGGAGTTGAACAAGTCCCCGGATGGCACCGGCCTATGCGGGGCACAGGACGTGACAGATCGCGCAGGCGACGAATCGAGCTGTGAGTGCGGTTGATGCAGCATGATGGATGTCCTGAGGGTAGGTTAGTCTCTGGAGTCTCTTGCTGGTGGTCTTGGTATGCTTACGCATGGGTCATCATGTTTGCCTGGAAAATCATCTCGTCAGACTGAAGCTTCTGGTTCAACGCGTCCTTTTTAGACGAAGGCAGATGGAGTCGCCAGTTTGTGAGGAGTGCCTCGATACGCGCCAAATTCTCGTCCTCTGGGCCGAAGATGGGCGGAACCCGCATGAACTTGCCCAAGTTTCGCCCAGCGAGAACGCGGTAGGAGAAGGAAGAAAATTCTCGCTCCTCTCCTGAGAAGTCCTGGTCCTCCAGTTCCGCAAGAGTCATTGAAGGGGGGATGTTCTGTAACATGTCTTGTCAGCCTTTTTCTCGTGAATATTTGCAGAAAACATCACATACCCCTGACATGAATTGGTGCTCTTCGCACGGCAAAGCAGCATCAGCTGGGACGTCAAAGAGGAGGAAGTTCGTTTGGCGATGGACTCCAGCTACCATGCCATCCACCACAAACAAATCCCACCATGTCCTCCGCCAGCTCTCCTCCAGAATCGGGATGCCTCGGCCATATTGTGTGGCATATTCTCTGGTGTTCATTCCCTGCTCAATGGCAATACGCTCAGCTTCCCCCAGCAGAGTCCGGGCTTTTTCTTGTTGGCAACTTCCATCCAGTGCGACAATCAAGAGAATCAGAGCCTGCACGAAGAAACCGTCCCTGGTCGTTGTGGGATCCTGCACAAGCCGGAGTGCTTCATCCAAAAAGCCGGCGCGGGCGGGCCCGATTTCAAGAAAGAGTGAGCCAACCCACCGAATGGCGGCCAAAAGAGGCTCCACGTTTGTATCGCGCATTATACGAAGAAGCCATTCTTTAGGGAGGGCGAATGGGTGGGAGGCATGGAAATGGTGGTAGAACGAGTCTAGACACCGTTCTGCGAGGGTCGGCACGGGCACTTGAGCAGGGACTCCATTTTGCTGCTGATTCAGTGCTAACTGGTTCGAATTGAAGCCAATCGCGGCACCGAAGGATCGGTATAGTTGCAGATTCGTCAGGTTCGGCGTTGCGCCAAAGGCCGTGCTCGGGGTGTCCGGGAGGACGACGCCGGGGTTGAACGGAGCCATTGTGTTCTGCATCGCGGCCGAGGTGCCATTGGCGCCAAGAAGCATCGGGCAGCTGTCGCCGACAGCACCAGCGACGGTAGATGTGGGGGACGAAGATCGCGCCCTCTTATTGGGATTGGCGGCAGTGTTCCTCCTCGGGCCCTTGTAGCCTCGACGGGAGGCGACATAGACGCATTCCGACTGCGAGCTCTGGCATCGCGAGCAAGGGTTCTGGCCATCACACTTGAGGTGCTTGCCTCTCTGTTGCAGAAGGCAGATTGGGGGTCAGCGAGGGTTGGTTCGAAGGAGTACAGACTCTTCCGCCAATCGCAATGGACGATATGCGAATGGATGACTCGGCCAGCGGGGGACTGGGACTTACACATGCGAGACATGCAGCAGGAACAGCAACGACGGGTGCTTGGCCCTGGGTACTGGTCGCCGAGGAGGGTGCGTTGGGGGAGTCGCGGTCGCTGGGAGAGTTGGAGTCGGCGACCATGCTCATGTTGTTCGGCGACCCATTGCTGTGGACGCTGCCCGGAGGCGGTGGGACTTCGGGGGACAAGGAACTCTGCATTGAAATTGGGGATCGAACGGCCGATTGCCGCAGACCAGACCTTCAGGGTCGGAACCGACGACTGGGAATGTTCAGACTCGATTCGGAATCGGGCTCGCCCGTGATTGAAGTCGGGGTTGTTGCGACTTTTGCTTTGGAGCGGAGCTGAGCTGAACTGGCGATGGGTGGTTGCAGGAGGAAAAGTTGCTCGAGCTGGGGTGTATCCAGGCCAGGCAGACAGTATTTAACAGCACCTCATACGTGCCCCCTCAATTTTGCAGAAGAGGTAGGTAAGGTACCAAACATCCAACCTAAGCAAACAGCTTGAGTTGCTGTGCACGGTTATGATGGGTTGAACCCGTCCAAATACCCCCTCCACCCTGGACCGCTGGACAGGGGCCGACCAATGGTGTCAAGATGAGCCGAGTGGCTGAGGTTTGGCCGTGCGCCGCAAGCTATACCGCGACCTTCTTTGTCAAGATTGCCGCGGGACGGATCCGGGTATTACCAACGTGGCTTGCGCCCGATGGTGTCGTCGTTGTTGTTGGTGTGTTGGTGATGCGAGCTTTGTGAGCAAGGGTCCGAGACTCTCGGCGACGAGGAGCTGCCGTGGCTTGTGGGAGAAGTGGCAAACGATCTCGAGGACAGCGGCGTCTAAGCTGGTGAAAGAAGAGCCTAAGCGAGCAAACGGGCAAAGATGACGATGGCGTAACGTTGACAGGATGACTCGAGAGACCTCCATCATGGTCTCGCATGAGACGCGGCCGATGCTTTTAATACAATGATGGATCTATAAAGAAAGACGACGTCGTTATCAGCCACCTGCCAAGACTGAGCCCGAGAATGACTCTTAATCGACAATAGCATAGCAACGGCAGACCAGACGACGGTTCTCGGCCGGTGTAGTCGAAGGCGCGTCCATGTGCTCGATGCCAGGATGAAGCCACGGATATCGGAGCGTCCTAAACAAGCGTTGCCGAAGGGTATGGCCTGGCATGGCATGGCAAGCGGTCGATTCCCCCCTCCCTCAGCCCTATACATAACGTACAACGGGCCAAAGCGCAAGGTAGGGAGGGAATCAGCCGGGGCGTTTCTTCCCGCTCAATTGTGAGCAGCTTTAGAGTTCCTTGGTGCCACGCGGCAAGTCGGACGCTACATGAACAGAGATGTACAAGAGACGAATTCAATACCGTCTTGTGCGGAACCTTGTTGCGTACGGCTTTGCGTGATTGGTCGGTACGAGTATCACCAGCGTCAACCTGAATGCAGAGGTCGTTTCGACATCTGTGAGTTGATGGTGTAGGGCATTGAGCATCAGCGGACAATCAGACCGCCGAGCGATCTTTCCAAAGCGACATACCGGGCCAAGCATGACAATGGAAGCTTGACGGTGTCGGGATGCCCCGGGCCCAAGTCATGGAAGAAGACGAAACTCAGAGAACGAATGGGCGAATCGGTTGGCAACTTCAACCACCTCAAATTAATTTGCTCAAGTAAGCAGGGGCAGCCCAAAGCACGGTCCATGGGAGCTACCGCACCTTCCTATCCGCAGCGTATCTCGCTTGAAAGAAACGGCTGTCACGGCTGTCGGTCATCACCGCCCAGACCTGTCAAGTCTCTGCACACACACAGCGCGACATTGGCATCGCACCTGTCAGGTACAAATAGCTATCGCCGATTGAGCTTGGTAGGATGCGCTTTGCCATGAAGCCATTCCCACCACCCGGCCATCGGTCCATGGCCGCACACAATCCGGACTCGGCCGGGAGAAACACGGCAGCAGCCGGACGGGGCACAGACCAAACCCATCGGCCATTCATGCACATTTGGGGCCCATCACCCCACGCCCCTTCTACACCTTTCACGTGTCACGCCCATTGTTGGTTGATTCAACCTCACTTCTTGTAACACGTACCTTTCGTGTCCCCCGGATCCGTCATCAAGCTGATGATGATGATGCAGCAGGGAAGCCCGATCGACTTAGCGCGTTCGTGCAGAGCAGAGGACGAAATTGGCCAGACATGCCGCGGCAGACATGCTCCATCGCAGGGCGATCTGACTCCAGCTTTGGTCACCTGACTTGGCTACCATCCTGACGAGCGTTTTTGTTCACCCTCTTGTTGTCTCTTCGCTCAGTACCTAGCAAGCCAAGCCCGCGAATGCCGTCTAGCCCCAGCTGGCGCCAAGTGGCCATGTCTGGCTCTGGATCGCCGTGGGACGAGAAAGGGGCGGGGTATGTCACAATCGGTCGACTCTAGTGACCCTTCTAGGGCGTGATATCCAAGACATGAGTCTATTTCGAAGAAATCTCGGCGCCTCAGGGAGCTTCTCTCGTCTCGCCTTTCGTCTCATGTTCGACAGCAGCGCCTAGATCCGTATTGATTAGTGAGGAGAGGAGGATTGACTGATCTCATAGCAGGTCCCAGAAGTCATCATGGACCCTGTCTCCGCGGCGGGCTTGGCCATTGGCGTAGCATCCATTGGGCTTCAGGTCTACACCAGCTGCATACAAGGTGATACTCTCCCTTAGTATGGTCAAAAGAACGAGTTAGCTAACAAGACCCAGGCATACAATTGCTCATAACAGCAAGGAACTTCCCCGAAGACTGCAAGTTTCTCAACTTGAGGCTGCGCATGGAGCAACAAAGACTCTTTGCTTGGAGTGAGACGTCCGGACTTCTGGATCTTGACAACAACCAAAAAGACAAGATTCTCGAGTCCAACACCTTCATTTTGCATCGAACCACCGTTCTCGACCTTCTAGTGCAAGTCCAATACCTCTTCAAGGAGTTCGAGGAGCACCAACGGTCTAACAAAAGACTTAAGCCTGCCACCGACCAGGATTCTGTACTTGAAAACCCGGAGAAGGATGCCGCATCGGCCAACTTTCCCTTGCCGGAAAAGCGGCGTAATTTCATCAAGCGAGCCATGTCAAAGCTCAAAGAGCAGTCCAAAGAGGGCCTCCTCATCTGGAGCTGGGTCTCGTTCGATAAGGCCGCCTTTGAGCTGTTGCTATCACGATTTTCAGCTCTCAATGACAATATGACCGATATCCTTGATGCTCGGCTGCAGGTTGAAATCCATCATACAGTCCAGGACACGAACCGAGGGGTCTTGCAGCTACATCATCGCATAGCTGACCTTGGGCGGCTTGTCATGGCTTTAAACGTAAAGCTTGACGCCACCATCCCACCGAACCTCTCTACCATGTCCATGAACCAACGGGCGGCCAATTCCGACGATTTGAAGCTGATATCCAGATTGGCGAAGTTCAAGGCCTTCAACGAGTCGATGGAGTCGGAAAAGCAGCAACTTGATGATGCGATGGCCATGCAGTTGGAGCTGGGAAAGCCTGGTCAACAAGACCGGCTGGTCCTGGAGCGGGAGGCGATCGATCTGGACGAGGGCCATGAGGACTTGGATCAACCCAGGTGTGAAGCAACCTTTCGTGGTCCTGACGGCGTCAGCAAAAGAGTTTGGATTGAATGGAAAGAATACGAACGTCAGACCAACACCGACGATTCTCTCCCGAAGCAAGTCATTATTGACAGAGTGGGCAGACTCGCCGCTCTTCTGAACCACAGCCCCAAGCCCGAGGCGTTTCGCACACTTCACTGTCTAGGCTTCTTCGACATGTCAGGATCAGAGCCTGTCGCGCCCGATGATGACGACAGCTTGAACCGGAAGCTGGGCCTCGTTTTCGAAAGGCCCCTTGATGGCGATGTACACGCGTCGCTGGCCCCCTCGTCACTTCGTGACTTGTTCGAAAACGAGAGAAAGCCTCGCGTGACCGATCGGATCAGGCTAGCTCACGCCATCAGCAGTTGTCTGTTGTACTTGCATGCCGTGAACTGGCTTCACAAGGGGTTGCGAAGTCACAACATTGTCTTTTTCCGAACCAGAGCCGGTCTAGTGGACTATACAAAGCCTTACCTGACCGGCTTCGACTACTCGCGTCCAGCTCGCAGCGATGAAGCGACGGATATCCCCGGAGACGACGCCGAGTACAATCTGTATCGACATCCCCAGGTACAGTTGATGAACCCGGCCGAGAGGGAGCGCTTCCGCAAGACGTTTGACATCTACAGCCTCGGCGTTCTCTTCGTCGAGCTCGCGCACTGGAAGCCGGTGGACAAGGTTCTGAGGTTCGATATCTATCGCAAACCGAGTCTGGCGATGAGAGTAAGGGATGGCCTGCTCGTCGACGACGAGATGGCTGAGATCGGCGCGAGTCTGGGTGAGGTTTTCGAACAGGCGACAAAGAAATGCATCGCTGGCGGAGACCAGCTCGGACTGGGGGACGGTGAAATCGAGACTGATGACCCGGTCGCAGCGAAGCTTTCGATGAGGTTTTACGAGGACGTTGTGAAGAAGCTAGGCGGGGTACGCGTGTGAAGTTAGTCACGGCACGACGCACGAAGGACTCAAACGGCAGCACGATAACCCATCGAAGGGACACTTACTTACCATCAGTTGACTTACCGTGGAGGATACTGCACACGACACGGCGGTGGTTCGGTCGACCCTGTCGCCCAATCAGGGCGAGGAGAAAATTTTCAAAGGTGCAGATAACACCGGCCTCCGTACAATCAATACCAATCTAGTTTTCGAGACATTGTGACGCGAGCGGACGTCTCTGCCTGGGAAAGCCGTTCTTGCGGTGGGAAAAGGGGGGCGCAGCGGCCCCCAATAACTTCATTTCCCGGCGCGCGCAAAAGCGCAGCATTAGGCAACGAGGCAGCCGATTTTCCCTCCCACATCAAGACGCATCGCCAAAAATGCTTTGGCATCGTCAAAAAAAAGTTGCCAGAATCTTCTTGATGGCGAGGCAGACTCGGCGGTGACCGGTTTCCTAATTCGGACGGATGCTCCCACCTGTTGGTTTCATGATAGGAACCCCTGAGCCGTCTTCATTCGTTAACAGACCGGCCGCACAGGAAAGACCACCCCCATCAGAGCAAGAAAACGGGTTGCATTTTAGAATACCCTCGGTCTTGGAGTGCTGTGTATTTTTTTCATGAGTCGTTCGTCGGCGCTTAAGCTAGGCGCAGCACGCGGTGACCCGACCAGCTTGTTCTCTGCCACGGCTGGCCGAGAAGTGGAAGCCCACGAGTTTTTACACTTTGAAATCAGCAACCCCTATATGCTCAGATTATCTGTTCAGCAGCCAATTTGAAGATCCGGACCACCGGTGGCGACTGTACTCTCAGTATACCGTCGGTCTTTTTGGTAAAGGCCCGCGGCCCTACGTCCAGGGGCTGGATTATCTTTCACTTTGCAACGGTTGGCTCGAAGCATAGATGTATTCGCAGTACTCGAGTGCTTATTCTGGTCGCTCCGTGAAAGGAATTGTCGATCTCAGGTTCATGTGACAGCCGAACTCAGCCCAACGCTGCACGCCAGTACGCTCGACTGCTCTGGAGGCCTGGAAAACATGCGGCCGCTCAAGAAGAGCTTCTCCAGTGCGGCCATCTTCGCACCGGCCAAGCAAGATCAAAATAGAAAGAGCGGTCAATAAGGCTGACTAGCTTTCATGGGCTTTCCGGCCTCGACTACCTGCGGCGCAAGGTGTCTTGGACCTTGAGGGCTCGAGGTAGACCATCAAGAAAAGGCATCACGAGGGTCGACGTGCCATGAGCTAGGACGCTTGCCACTGCATAGAACCCGTCCTGGATGCTTTCTAATCTTGGGGGCGGGAGGTTTTGCAATTCCAGCCTTTTCTTCTTCCCCTCCTTGATCTTAGCTCTGCACCATCATCACAAATGATGGGCATCACGAGCGGCTTGGATCAGCGCAATCAGGGACCGGGACGCCTGCCCCGGAGCAAGTACTTGCTCTGATAGCTCACATCCATGGTCTGCCCGGCCATCCCACAACTGGCATCCTGGTGGTGGTCAAGATTTGGCCCGAGCAGCCTGCAAATGGGGTTCATCCTCCCCCTTTTCCAGGCGGTGGTTTTCGGTTGCTCCCAGGCGCTGTGGCTCGTAGCAGAGCTAGCGTAGACAGGCTGAGCTTTGCTCGGGGGCAACACTTTAGCAGCTGTCTCTGTGCTGGTTCGCCTGCGGCGCCTATTGTGCTGAGAAAAGTACGTGATCAGAATGCGAGGCGGGAGTTAATCTGCTGTGCCCCTTGCGTTTCTTCTTTCCCCTTGTTCATCTTGCCGCCTGCCTCTCACACGACCAGCCCTCACCATCACCACTTCTGCTCAAGTTTGCCTTTCCTTGAGGTTCCGTATGGTCGTCCATGACTTTACTACTCCTTCCCTCGAGGATTCCATTCTACACTGCCTTCACGTATACGCTCAGTGAGATCATGTCTCTGGAGGTCGTGGGAAGTCTGCTCATTACCCTCGGGTGCTCGACAATGATAAAAGCTATGGCGGGACGTTATGAATTGAAATCCTATCTATGTTTTTGCTTTACTGCTTTTCCGACTGAAAGAACGGACCATCAAAATATCAAGCGCTTCGCCCCTTTTCTCGTTGCTTCCTAGCTTACAATTTCCCCTTTCCTCCTCGCCCTTCAAAACACAGTACCAGTCTCACAATCAGTACCATGTACTTCCCGACCTATCCTTACTCTACATCACACATCTTCTCTCGCCACAAGACCTCTTGCGACGCAACGTCTCCGGGGATATTTTAAGCCGAAGCGCTCTTCCGGCGGTGAGCACCGCAGCATTCGATGGAGATTTTGATGTGGATCAACCCCTGAGGGCCGCCGTCGTCCACACTCCCAGCCTCACTGGAAGACTCGCTGCCATGGTGGTCTTCAGCCTCTGCCAGAGACGTAGCAGCGGTGCTTGGGCTGTTGGTGGCGGGCGCGGAGCTGCTAGCCTGCGACTGCTCTGCGTGGCCTGCTGAGGAGGCGCAGTCTTCTTCGTGGCGCCGAATATCGCCGTCGTTGTTCTTTCCCATAACTTTGCCGCAGCAAGGCAGGTTCATTGTTTCTCCGTGAGCTTCAGGGATGTGGGTGCGAAGATTGTGTTCGTCGGAGCCGAGCACCCAGGGGCAGCTCGGGTGGGAGCACATGTTGGACCGCCGCATTGTACTGGCCGGCTGAGACATTGAAGCAGGCTGGTATGCTTGGTTCAGACGGCGATGATGCTTGGGAAGGGGTTTTTGAGTGTGCACCGAAATACTTGACAGCTTTAGATCTCTGGTTTTATTCAGGAGGCATCGAGAGGGCGCGCCGTCTTATTTATAGTCGAAAAACAAGCACGCAATCTCTCCAGCTTCGCGATGAGATCTCACGGTAAAACACCCTGTCAGTTGATCTTGTCCGGTGTAATCTGTTTCTTGGTTGGATATGCGTGAAGAGCACATACATCCGGTTGCCTTGTAATTCACACCGTTGAACCTGCAAGGTCAAGACTCATTGGGCAAGAATACACCAAACGTTCGATACTGGTCCTCCTTTCTTTTTCCAACGCAACTTCAAAATACATCAAAGGTTACATTCTGGGGTCAGTCATTGCTGCATATAACCCACCTGATACTAGGAAGTAGTGGGTTGGCTATCCTGTTTCGAGTATCCGATTATCACTCTAGCTGGAAGAGAAGACGACATGAGAAGGTGTTTTCCGACTCAAACGCTGTCAAATGAAAGTTAATGTACCGAGACTGTGGTTTAGCTCCTTTCTTTTTAGCTGACCTAGCCTTCGCATGTTGTAACAAATCAATTTGCGCCTGCTCCTTGACCAACCACAAGGCACCGATCAAATTGATATCTTCCACTAATGCCGGGTGTGTCCTCCTGTGCACGCGGGCAAGAGTTCTATGTTGCATTCCGCCTGCTCCCGGGTTGTCAAACATGGGGTCTGAGAAGCAGTATATGAAAATCGAGGCGAGCATGGAAAAAGCATCCATGGTGTATCAGAAATTCTTTGACTTGGTCCTACCATTGGTCATGATGCGAGAGTGACATATGTACTTTCTCCTGCACCTCACACGATACCCAATGGCAGTGGCAGCCTTCCATGCCTGGATGCCTTGTGTTGGACCGGAGTGCATTTATGGCCGTAAACTCCAGGACCCGACCTTGACAGTTCTCTATATATATTCATCCATCCTCTCATCCATCCATCCATCCATTCATCCATTCATCCATCCATCCATCCATCCATCCTCCCATCTATCCATCACCCCACCTATTCTCCCACCCATTCTCCCACCCATTCTCTCACCATTCCCCCTTCCACTTCGTATCTTTCACACGCCCTTTCGAGGCATCTGAACTGTCTCGCCCCCGGGTTTCCACCTTTCTGGAGGTGGATTCTTTCGGCAATCAGCATCGATATATCCCTCGCGAATTCACGATGAACGGCCGTCAAAGCATCAGGAGAATCAATTCGCAGATTTTCCTGACCGAGCTTGGTAAATATTTCTCGATTTCATACCCAAGATGGTCAGATACCAACTGTCGCCTCGTGTTCTGGCAACTGACTCCGACGTGGCGTCGGGGCTGCAGCATCAGTCACCTTGGGCGGGCATGGCAGACGTGGAATCGTTCAATCTCGGATTTTGCCAACTAGAGAGACTGATTCGCACCGTTGCATGGCTAGCCGTTTCGAGATGAGACCTGGGGAAAGGATTGACAGGTTCTCGCACGCCTGTCTCGGAGAACACAACCTCACAAGGAGAAGTCTGGAGCTGGACAAGAACCGTGAACCAACCGGTTTTCTGTCAGGATTGACAGTGGTGACAGGTTTCAGCCATTTGGCATTCGCTTTTCGTGAATGCACCTTGATGTAGGAACCGATCCGTCATTCTTTCTTTCCTTTTCTCATTCCCCGTACCTCGTGTTATCTCAACGTAGCCCCATCCATACATCCGTCCTTAGTGAGGATGTGACACCCAAAGCAGGGGGGCATGAGCTGCGCGGCCGTTATTACCAACTGATGTCCACTTTTGCCTTGCCGCTCGCCTCATTCTGATAGACAGTTGGCAGTTATTCCGGTCTTAATCTGCTGTTCTAGTGGTATGCACCCAGTGGTATGCACGTATCTCACAAATCACCGACCGCCCTTTCGTACTTTGTGAATCTTCCAAGGTGGTCTCGTAGCACCATCAAGCGGTCTGTGTTCAAGATTTGCTGGAAGGTGTACCCAATGGCACTGTCTGTGAGGTGCTATCAGCCCCTGACTTGAACGGCTCACAGTCGTGCGGCACGAAGAAGAGGGCTAGTACATGCAGGGTGAATAATGACATTGCAACTGAACTTGTGACGGATTACAGTGGCTTCCAACCGATCACATTTTGTGAGATGGTATCCATGTTGCATTCGAATTCTTGGTCGTATCCTCAGCCAGAATGTCGGCCAACAGTCACAAGCCAGACGGTTTGATGCCCTCGAATTCCCTTCCTTTCGTCGGATTGGCATAGTCGTTGCGGGGAGATGAATCCCCCTGAGAACCTGGAGTACTGTTGCCTCCGCGATTCACGGTGTGTACAAAGATGCCAGGGTACTTGAAGGGAAGGCAACCAACAGCGCACGTATACCCTGCACTCTGAGTCAACCTGGGCGACTTGAGGGCTCTCGAAATCACGTCCTGTCGTACTTAGATAGGCGTACGCAGTGCTGTTGGTACCTGACAGGGGTCCTGGCTGAGTCCAACTCAAGGCGTTCTCCCCGAAGGCACCGGAAGCCAAAATGACTTATGGAAGATTCCAGAATGAAAATTTTTCTTGCTTCTGTTGGAGCGGCCGCGTTTTTGGCCTCCCGCCCCCTATTGACACTTGCTTGAATGCCACCCAGTCCGGCCAAGAGCGGCTTCCGGCTCCGACTTTTTACACTTTTTCCTCGTCATTAGGGGGGTCTACCACATTGCTTATTGCAATGAAGAACTGCGGTCTCTCCTCACAGTGGTAGACGTCTTTTCAAAGACCTGCTAGGCCGAACACCGTTGACTCCACCTACTACTCCTCAATGATGTGCAGTTTTGGACCGCCCTGATCAAGATTTCCGGCGGTTACTCTTGCGTCAGAAATGGGATGCATACAAGCATCCCTGGACCCTGGAATAAGGACCGGCGACGATGGCGCCACGTACGCTACCCTTGTAGCTCAGGTTCTCGTAACTGCCAGATCTCTTGGATCTCGGATAGGCGGTGAAATGTTCATTTGTCGTAGTCTGTTTGTCTCATGAGCGGAGGACGTGACCCATCAGGCGCTGTCTGCGTAGAAAATATTTGGAACGAATAGACTTGAGCGTCGTTCCCGCGCGTTCTTGTTCAGGAGCCGGACCAAAGCCAAGTTGAATATGAGGTGGTCTTGAGAAGCCGTGATTGAGCATTGACTATGGGCAGCAAAGCCTTGTTCTGCTCCACGTTTGATGGTCTAAGGTCATGTATTATTAAAGCACTTCTTCCAGTTGAGAAGAGTAGAAGTAAAAGTGTCTAAGTAAGTTGTTGTCCACTCGTGGTTCATGTCCATATCCTCTACGTCTATTGCCCCCGATTTCAACATTTCGTATTTTTTGTAACCGTCTTCCGTATTCTTTGCGCCCTGCGCTTTATCCAATTCAAGACCCCATCGTAACTCCCCGTTCATCTCAATATGCTCGTCCATCCGCAATACCTCAGAGTGACGGAGGAAAGGTGGTATTACATGTTGATGTTGTACACAATGCTGTTGTAGAAGTTGTTCTGGTAGCCGCGGACAACAACATCAGAAGCCATGCCAATGCCCGCCTCTGTTTCGGGGGTGCTTCGGTTGCTCCCATCGGTGTCTTCCGCAATGCTCCCATTGATGACCTCAGGCTGTTCGTTCAACCCTTCGGGACCGTCATTGGCTGACTCGCGAACTCCAGATCTGCTGGATCGGTTCTGCGAAGGCTGGTTGGGCTTCATTCCCAACCCTTGACCGTGTTGGCTGGCATTATGAACTCGTAGGGATCTCCGAAGACCAGGCGCAGGCCGCCACGAGCATCGGTTACATTCTTCGAGAGAAATTTGAGAGGCCATGCTTAGATAATACGTATAGACTTGGATCTTGACGGGAGATAATAAAGGCCGGAAGAAGGGTGTGTCGAACGCTATGGGAGCAAGAGGGAGTTGTTCGATAAGATGCAATTCTGCTGTCCAAAACCTTGTGATAGATCGTTGCGTCAATAGACCTCTTTATACTCATGCGTTTGATACTCGGTGCACATAGCTGCGATCTTTGTGGTGTCTCCTGGGCTCCCCGCTGATGCTGGCCCGCTGATCGATGATCCAACCCCCCATGTCAAGGTCTTACCGACCCAGGACCACACGAGGTCTGAAACATGTCACTCACTTCCAGGAGACGAAAGGCCGTCCCCGTCTTCAGAGTTCCGCGGCCGAATGGAAGGCAGGATTCTCTTGCCTCGCCGAAAGAGACAGCTAGCTTTAGGGGGGAGTGAGGGATGGCTTGGCCTGCTGCGAACCCTTGCCGGTACCTTTGTGACGCCGGTGGAATGGTTCGACGGGGGATCGGGCAGCCCGGCCGGCCCCTCCTGAAGTTCCGCGGGCTTGATGATTGGCAGGTCACAGCTGTCGGCCTTTCCTCCCCACCAACTACTTTGAAGGTTATCACCAGCGATCTCACGCTCCCGTACCTGACGCGGTGTCCGACTGTCTGGCTCGACAATCTGTTCCACCGGAGATTGGCGTAGCGAGCTTGCCTATGGCGGCGGGGGTTGAAAGGTGACGAAGTTTTCTATCCGTAGGTTGATTTGGCTGGCAACACTCTCTGATGTGACTTCGAATGTATAAGAAAGATTGGGAGCACTCGTATCCCGTTCGCATCATTCCACTTAATCGTTCTTCGAACTTTTTTCTTTTTTTTTGGCACTTGGAAGATGGAAAAAGAAAGCGTCACGTAGACCCTACAATTCCAATTTAGGTCTCCTCAAAGTAGTAATAAGATATTGCGTGTTAAATACAGCAAGGATCAGACTCGCTAGCGGGAAAACGGTTCAATGAGCTGGGTGGCTCGCAGCCGGGGCAGGGTGTTGGCATCTTGGCGGGCAGGTCAGGGGCTCCGCCGCCTGTAACCCATAGCGGGAGCTACGCTGCAAATGCCAAAAAGTCTCAATTTGCGACCTGCGCTGCAAAGGCTAAAAAGTCTCGAATTGCAGCCTACGCTGCAAAGGCCAAAAAGTCTCGGGTTACGACCTACGCTGCAAAAAGCCAAAAAATCTCATAACGGGACCTAGGTCCCAAGTTCCAAAATCCTCCCAGCGGGAGGTACGTTCCACAATCCAAAAAGAGCCCAGGAGAAGAAGTACCTGCATCGCGTAGCCATTCGTGTTATCCTTTGGGGGTCACTTCTACCATTAAGTTCACCCGCACATCCATCTGGTCAGTCAAGGACGATCATTTCCCCCTTAACGAGTTCCCTGAGATCGGTCAACAGACTGATGAAGAGCAATGGATGTGATCATGGAAGGTGATCAAAGGCAACTCTGGATGAGGGGGAATGAACGGAAATGGAGCGTCATTCAGCATACCCAATACCACTTGAAATACCTCTGTGGCTGATTTACCACATCTACATCCTGAAGCCATCACTCTGGACGATATTAGCTTCCCAGGATGGTCTTGGATGCCCGAGACTTCAGCAGCCTCATATTCGACTCGGTGGTTCATCTGCAGGGCATCTGGGTACGATTGCTGATCCATGGAAGCCTTGACTAGCTAGCGGGATCACCGTGGAACGCCAACAGCATCATTGTAGTTAAGTAAGCGAATGAGCTTATTTGCACCACGACAAGACTACCAGGCTCTCCCGAAATCGCAGGTTGATGTCAGAACCTACGCAGGATCTCTTGTTTGTCATCGAGCACCCGAGGTGTTTGTGCCCGTGGCACTGCTTACTACTTACTATTGAATGGCTGATTGCAGGCCTCCGGAGCCAGGGTTTTGAATCTGTTCAGCTTTCTCACTTCATCAGAGGCCTTTGATTCACCAAAGTTCAATAAGCCCGCAGAAATATCATATTCAAGCACAGTTCTAAAGCTCCGTCTCAAAGCAGCAGTTTATCATACACGCGCGTGTCGTTATTGCAGGGGCATTCCAGAGACATTATGAGGTTAAATAGAGCTCAGACGAACTCCGGTGACCCCACTTAAACGGGGCGCACTGCGCCGATAGAACGGGGGCCCACTTGGCGCCGGGCCGGAGTTCCGTTGTTTATTGGTGTGGATCCCGGGTCAGCCTTTTCTTTCCATGGGGAGATCCTGACATTTGTCTCGACATTCCTAAGTTGTGGTATATTTTGTTCCAGTGCTGTGGCATAACTAAGGACAATTGAAAATAATTTGCACCAAGTCATCAAGCCTGCGTGAACTCTTACACAAATGTCAATAAAATCACCGTCTCCGTCCTCAATTTCGTCGCCACCATTCCCCTCATCGCCCAGATCAAACGGAAATCCAAGGTCTTTCCCCAATTCACACTCCTGACCCGGTCGGAAGTGTCTCTTGATTGATCTCATCTATCAAAAATGTTAGTAACCGAGTACCTGTTGCAGACTACTGATACGAACCTCTTCAACAAGAGGTGTAGCTAAAGCTCTCATCAGTCCAGAGGAGCACATCCAAGAGCTCATCATCTAGATCATTGTTGTAAGATAGCACAGCAGAGCCAGACAACGAGCCTGCTTCCAGGTCTGAAGGGGAATCATGGTCGCGTCCAAGAGTAGAGGCCATGTTGCCCTGCTGCGTTGCAATGATCTTACATTTTTTGCAATTTCGTTCATGTCGTTTTTTGTTGGACGTGTGGTTCACGCGCTCTTCTCCACAGGCCATCCGAGCTTTTGGACCATGCTTCGATCTCATGTGTCTAGAAAGGTTGGATCTTGTGCTATATGATGTTGACTGGCAACTGGGTTGAGGACACTTGAAGGGCGAAGCGGTGGAACGAGAGCCCATTGTGTGTAAGTGGAATTGGACTTCAGTGGTGGGCTTGGAAGCGACAATATTGCGGTGTGCCTGGCTTGCTGCTTCGAGTTTTTTGAAGCCGAAAAAAAACCCAGTTCTCTAATGAATAAATTCTACATGAAGCGGACACCATGGACACGCTTCTTCTAGTAATATACGTGGGCGCAAGACTGAGGAGTCGCATACCTAGCCACGGCCATCAGCGAAGCCAAGGCGATAAAAAGCCCGATAAGGAACTTTGCTCCACAAGCGATAAAGGGGCAGTCTGATAAGAAATCTGCCCCACATAGGCGAGGAACGATTGGAAGTGAACCCCTGGTTCCAGCCTAACTTCCACGAGAGGACGAAAGGACACTGTCCGCCCAGCTTTGCTCTTCAGCAAAGGGGCGCTTTTTGGGGGCCATGTTTTTGCCAAGTTTGGTGAAATCACGTGCGAACTTTGGTGATCAGAACCTCTATGGATTTTCGAGTGTTTTTGGCCAGGGGATCGATTCTCCACTTAACACAGCGCCCCAGCCAATCCTTTCGATACGTAATGAGCACATCGTCAAATGAACGTCCCACACAAACAAGGTTGTGTTTGTGTGGCTTCGCAAATGTAGGCTCTTACGGTGCACCCGTCTGCCTGAGACTAGTTGGGTGCAGGTTAAAGGCATCTTGATCTTCCTTCGATGCAAAGGACTTGAAGATGCAGCAATAATACTTCATGAAAACCAAGTTTAAGCCGCCTCCTGTACCACTACCGCTTCACCTGAGAGCAAGATCAACCCCAAAACCCCTCCTCCGTGGCGTTCAGTTTCGATGGGCTCCATTCCATGCCGGACAGATGCGTCAACATATCCCTTTGATCACGACGGTCTGTCCAACAAGCATGTACGGGATTGTTTCTATCAAATGAATCCGAATTGATTTGCAACGACTTTCTTTCAACAAGCTAAAGGTAGCATATGCCATTTGCTTCCTTGTCCAGCCTCATACCTACTACACTTAACCACCAAATTCATATATGCCATCTAATTTTGTTCACTTTTCGTAGTCGCATGTTTCTGTAACGATGATCATTCCAGTCTTATATGATTACCACTCCAACATCTTCACAAGGTACAATACTCCAACTTCACATGAGCCTGGGCCAATAAGCTCAAAGGCCTTCCTATGTGAGCTGATAGACATTGTAATTTCAGTTTGCAATCAATTTTTGCCGCTTTCACTTCTTCATTGTTTCTGGCTTAGAATGCCTGGCTGAATTTGCCAATACTTGAGTCGTCATAATTCAGAGTTTACTAGTCTTTCACTCCATACCATACTACCATGTAGTCTGACGGTACTCTCAACCCTGCAGATATAACCTCGCCTCCCACGGCCTCAACACCCTCTTGTCTCCCTCGGCAGCAACTCTATCTTTTACATCGTCATAGTTTCCGACTCTGATCTTCAAATCCTCTCCAGGGATCTTGACCTCTTGCTCTTCGCTGGTAAAGTTCAACACCACTACAGCAGCCCTTCCATCTCTTGTCTTCTTGTATACAAAAGTCTTTTCGTTCTCCTCATCAAACAACTCAAACGCACCATGTGTAAGCAGGTCTCCCTCCTCCTTGCGCAGCTTCAACATCGCCCTCCAGAAGTTTAGCACGGAGCCGGGCTCCTTCTCCTGCTTCGCAACGTTGATCTCGGGGTACAGCTCGTGCACACGCATCCACGCGCCGTCCTTGTTGTCCGTGAAGCCCGCGTACGGCGAGTCGTCCCACTGCATGGGGATGCGCGCGTTGTCGCGGCCCATCTTGTTGATGCTGTCCATGACGTACTCCAAGAACTTGCTGCCCTCGCCGTGCTCCCGCTTGATGTCGTTATAGTAATTCTGGCTCTCGATGTCCTTGTAGTCCTCAATAGGCCAGTCGCGCGGCACGTTGATCATGCCGATCTCCTGGCCCTGGTACACGAACAGCGTGCCCGTCATCGAGCACATCATCAGCGCCAACATCTTGGCCGACAGCTCCCTCCACTCGGGCGCGTCGCTCGCGAACCGCGAAACGGAGCGGCCCTGGTCGTGGTTCTCGCAGA